ATGGCATATATCATGCCAGAGTTTATGGCTCCTGGCTGCTGCATTTACACATGTGCCCAAAACTGCAGCACACTGAGCCAGGTCGGAGCAGCCCTGGCTGGCAGGAAGCAGGAGTTTCAGCCTGCTGGGACAGGGCAGCTCCAACCTGTCAATGAAAATTATTAGATTTGGGTGCTGCCAATACAGGAGAGTCGATCCTGACATGTGCAGACAGCCTAGGCTGCATGCCCTCTGCTCGACCCCTGGGCCTGTCAGTCATCCGTGACCTACTTTTCAGCTTCGCACATGCTCAGTTGCCCACAAAACCTGACCAGGCGCATGCTCAGTCTTTCTGCAGCATGACATAATCTGACTAGAAATTTCTTTGCAGGATAGGATCTGATTGGTCACTAAAATTAGTATAAAGACCTGTGAGCCCCCACCAAGGTGTGGGTTGTTGTGTGGGCGTCGTTAGTGAGAGCGTGGTGAGAGACCGTGTGCTGTCTGTAGCAGAGGCTGCTGTTAGCAGAGACTGCGAGGCAGAGAGCGATTTGGGAGTCAGTCCCCCGGTTCTCCTCACAATCTCACACAGCGGATTCATACCTTTAATTTCGTCTCCTCGTGTACCGATTGCTCCGATTACTGAACTTACTGGCTTTGACTCCGACTTCGATTGCTTCTACGGCTCCGACATTGATTCTAGCTTTTACTTACCTGGCATTTGACTGACCTCGGCTTCCATTATCAACCACGATCCGGCTCATCCCTCCGCTGCATCATCTCTCGGCTCCTAACCTCGGCTTTTCCTTCGACCACCCGTTTCGTCCATTGGACTGGCGTCACGATTCAGTCTCCGTTCGTCATCGTTACAGTTTTGTTGTTTGTCCTGTTCCTTAAATGAGCCGTTGACCAGCCCTGGGACTATTAAGTTGAGCAGCCGCCCCTAGCTCCGGCTAGATAGCAAGGGCTCACTTAAGAACCCCGTGGGCCAACGGACCCCTCTGTTGTTTGTATCTACTGTAACTGAAGAAAGCAACTCTACCTACGCCGCTAAGCGTAAGTCAAATAAATTACCTTTGTTTAAAACCACTACGCTCACGTGCCTCAGAACTCCACGCCAGAAATCCCGCCTGTTCCGTATCCAATTTGCCACCACCCGGCCGCCCCACCGTGACCACGACCGTGAGCTTGGCTTGCCAGCTCCGGGCACCGTGACACAACCCTGTTCAACATGCTGCAGAGGGTTGGCTGGAGCACGAGGATGTGTAGAGGAAGACTAGCTGCTAGGCAGCCACCACACTGAGCACCCTCATGCCACAGCCAGCTGCACTAGTGTCTACATGTGCGTTGCTGGCCGTCAAAAACTCTACAGCAAAAGAGTACTTGTATTTACAAGTACTAACCTTCTGCAGAGTTCATTAGTTTTCTGCAGCCTTACAGACCCATATGTGTAGACATCAAGATGTTTACTGCTAAGCTAATTAAGAAACTGCAGTAAACATCTCATGTAGACGTGCCTTTAGTGTAGCACAGGACACTCACCAGCAAGAGAAAGCTTATTGGCACATTCACAGTACCACACTAACACCCCTACTAAAGCCTTTTGTTTCGAGCCAAATTTGCATACTTGCAGAGCAACCTCAATGCAACAAAAATTCCTTGCCCAAGAGAACCTTTCCATCACTGATCCTCCTGTGAAATATGAAACATCCTGCTTGCCATCAGACACCTTTGAGTTAAGTAGACTGATCCAACTTTTCTCTGAGCCTAATTTGCATAAAATTAACTTTTCCAACCAGGAGAACTTACACCACCCTCCAGCTCTCCTGTGAAATGTGAATTTTCATTTCTACCTAGGAGAAATTTTACAATTTTTGCATTGTCCTTTGCCTGAGGAAGGTTGCATGTGCCCAAAAGTTTGCAAATAAGCTTGCAACTGTCCAGTTGGTCTAATAAAAGATATTGCTTCTAGCACACTGACTGCCAGTACCACACTAAGACTCCAGTTTCCAGAAACAGCTTGGATGGGGCAGGCCCAGTTGGCTCCTCTGCAATACTTCCCGACACAGCACTAAGGTAGTGAAGACATGCCCTTAGGAATCAAAAAAAAAAAAATCTCCAAGGCCTGTTTCTACCTCATTTCCATCAGTTTTGCACACTTCCAGTTCTTTTGATTTCATTAGAGTTGCTCCTGATTTTCCCTGATGTGCACAAGTGAATCATGGGTAAACTGATGGATCAAACTATGGCCCTGGTCCTGCAAGCTCTTACACATGCCGTTAACATTACACATGCAGGGAGCTCAATTAAACAAACAGGGCAATATGGGCACATCTACATGAGATGCTTTGCTCAAATTACTGCACTGTAAGCGTCACCATCTACACATGCAGATGCTTACTGCGCAGTAATTTTCTCTAATCATGAGTAAATTTGCTACCTGTATATACAAGTAGCAAATTTACTCATGATTACTTACTACACAGTATGGTACATGTAGACAGCCGACTGGGAGCAAACTTGCTCCCAGGCAGCAGGAGGCGAGAGAGTGCTCTCTGCCTCCAGGATCTGCCTGCTGCCAGGGTGGGATTCACCACTGGAGCCTAGGTGGGGACAAATGTCCCCCTGCCCAGACAGCAGGGAGCTCCCAGCCCCTGTTCCCACAATTTCAGGGCAGGGGCTGGGGACAAGCTCCCAGCCTGATCCCAGCCCCTGCTCATGATCATGATTGCAGAGTGGGGGCTGGAAACAACCTGCATGGGGAGAGTTCCCTGCCCAGCCTGCAGCAGGCTGGGACTTGCCCATGACTAGGACAGTTCCCAACTAGCCCTCAACTGAGTGGGGAAGTCTGCATGTGCAACCTGGAGGTGGCTGGGGACTGTCTCATTTTGGGCAGTCCACAGCCAGCTCCAGGCTGCACGTGCAGACTTCCCTGAATAGCCTGTGGCTGGCTGCAAACTGTCCTGGACAGGAGCAGGTCCCAGACCCATCCCCCAATTGTGTAATTAAGGTGAGAGGCTTGGAAAGAGCTGTGGGGAAGGGGACAGTACCCAGCCTCAGGCCCCAGTTGGGTGATTGAGGTGCACGGCTCAGAAAGAGCTGCAGTGGGGAGTGCAGGTCCCAGCCCCCCTACTCCAGTCCATCAATGGGGCATCTTGCAGCAAGCCCTCAGCTGGGCGGGAAATCCCACCGAGCCAGGGGCTCACTGCTAGCTGCCTCACCAGCAAATCAAGTCAAGGAGCTGAGACCTGCTCCTCTCCTCCAGTTCTTTCCAAGCTCCCTACCCCAAACTGGGGAGCCAAGCCAGGAGCTCCCTGCTGCTGGGGCAGAGGGACATTGTCCCCACCTAGGCTACAGTGATGAAGACCACCCCAGCAGCAAGCAGCTCTTGGGGGCAGGGAACAATGTCCCAGCCCCCACCAGGAGGCAGCTGTCTCCTGGACCTGTGCTTCCTGCCATCCCCTGGGCTAGATTACAGGGGAAGCCTTGAGTTCCCCATGGCTGGTGCAGGGCCAGAGGGAGCAGGAGCAGACTGCTGCCAGGAGCAGCAAATCTGCTCCTGCATCCTTACATGTATAGATGCCTGCCCAGGGTGGGTTTACTCTACAATAGTTTACTCTAGGGTGGGCTTACTCTAGGAGTAATTTACTCTAGAGTAAACCCACTCTACAGCATTTGCATGTGTAGATACGGCCCCTGTGCGTGTAAAGCATGCATATTGGTGCCTGAAGGCAGAGACCCTATTTCAAGGCCCGCTGCAGATACAGTGCAAGGCTTTCTCTACTAGACTTCCCTTCCCTCCAGAAAGGGAAGTGTAGAGATGAGTTAATACTGGCCTAAGAGTTGTTTTGCTCAGACTGTTTCTACCAGCTCTTTGTTTGAAACAAGATACATAGACAAAAGGACTTGATAATTGTACCTAGACTAGGGGCTTTTCCTAATATCAATATGCTAGGGAAGGGGTAAGAAAATCATATCCCTAAGTGCCAGAGCTAGCAAAACTTTTAGGCACAATGTGCATGTTACAGTCATGAGAAATAAATTTCCATGCTACTCATGAGCTGAGTTTACAGTCTCTTATGACCTGAAAAATCCTTTTGCTTCCAGGAATGTGAAATCCCATCAGCATGTTTTCAACCAGTGCAACCCCTCACCAGTACTAATGTTAGTACTGTGCTCGTATTATGACTTCCAGAGCAGGTGGAAATACCAAGTTTAAAAGCTAAGTTTATTATACTTTCCCATCTAAGCCTGCTCATCTAGGCATGCTCAAAACATGTGAAGTTATAGGAAACCCCAGAATTTTCCATTTTCATTTGCAGCAATGTTTAGATCAGACTAAAAATAAAATTGAAAACTATTCAAATCTTAGTAGTCTCTCATGTTAACTGTCTAGCCCTGACATTTGGAACAATGATTATTTAGATTTTTTTTTTAATTCTTTTATGTTGAGTTTTTTTAGTGTATCTATTAGATATCATTTTAGAGGAAAATATAGAGACTGATTGTAATGATGCATTTTTAAACCCATCTAGGATCAAAAGCTGGAAATTTAAGATACAGATATATGTTGGTTTCAGACCCTGGACTGCCTTGAAATACAAGATTCATTAGACATTTATAGAACTAATATGTAGCATTTAGCAACGTGAATGGATAGAGGGAACCTATGTTTCCTCAGCAAAAGTTCCACAGGACTGGCACAAGAAGAAGTTACTATAAGCTGATGCATGAATTTACACAGCTTTAGCTGCTCTATAGTAACTGCCCGTATGTATACCTTTGTGCCCATGGCAAGTGCAAAGTATAGGCACACAACCAAGCAAGGTAAATGGGGCTGTAGATTTACAATATATTATTAACTCCCTAGTAACCAAGCACAGATTGCACATACTCAGACCCTGCAGTAAATATGAGGTACTATAGTCCATTTTCACCGAGATGGGTATTGTCTTGGATTTACCGTGGAGTAGAAGCATGCACACAGGCAGCTACCACAAAGTAGTTAACTCTGAACTCACCTCACAGCAATGTTCTTATAGCTATACCTTGGGACGCATCCTTCAACACACGCCAATTGTCTAGATAGTGCCTTGCAAAAGGAAACAGAAGAAATGAAGCAGCAAGTGTTGCAACTGAGATAAATGCACTCACAAACTGTTCCAGGACATTGATTAATCATTATCTGATTTGTGTTTGTTGTAGTGACCAGCACAAATCTCTAAAGTAACAGTGACAGTCAACCTATTTACATATAGGCCTCCTGTTTGGATCAGGGATAACACAGAAAAGTTTCCACACCAACAAAAATATAGTCAAGGGGTTTTAGGGAATTGCAGACACTTTTAACAATGTTACCCTGCCTTTTTAAGTTGTAATTATTTATTTTTCTCTTTTGCCCCTCTTGATATTTCATTAACATTTCTCAAGTCCTAAGCTGTGACTTAAGCTGTGATGAAAACTGCTACTTAGGTATAATTTGGGGGGAGAGGGAGAAGCATAGAGATTGGTTCTGGCACCCTTGCTCATGTAAGTCTTCCTCACTGGCTTCAACAGGATGATACTTCAGAATGGGGAACATACGAGGACATTCTTATAAGGGGTTGGGGTCGCAGATTCCTATTTTAAGAAGAGAAGGAAAGTTAATGCTGTGACTGAGAGATGGTAGGTCTTTGAGATGCATCCTTTCTTGTGATATGCAGATCAGCTGTTCATCCCTTTCTTCTTTTCTCCTTTTGAACATTCCCAAAATCATTCCTCAAGAATTCCAAGTTTTTAGAGAAGAAATTCCCTTTTAGAAATAAAAGTATTTACTCCATTTGTTAGCACTAAAATGACACACAATTTAACTAGGGGTGAGAGAACTGCTGGCTGACCAGACAAGGCAAAAGGAAAAGATTGTTTCAAACTCTTGGGACTCCTACACACATGCAGAGAGCCTGCTCCAATGTGATGGAAATACAGCTCATCGGAGCAGACTTAATTAATCGAGTCTGCTAAACCACAGAAATTAATGTGCTCCAGCAGACTCTAATGCCACATATATCATAAGCTTTAGTTCAAAGCACCCCACTGCCATTTCTCAGTGCAGAGGTGCTGATACACATGATGCTCGGGTGCTTTTAATTAACATGGCTTGCTAATTAAAGCGCACACACACCCCCATACCTCCCAGAGCATGTGTAAAAATTACCATGCTGACTTGGTGCTAATTGAGGAAGACAAACCTGAAGAAGGATTTTAATGAAGAAAATGTTAGTTTGGTGTATGCTTTTTCTGCATTTAATTTCTTGTGGAAAGTCCTCTTTCCCCTACTTTATAGGCCAAATTTAATCAAATGCAGCATGATTTCATTACTTGGAAAACACCAGGCATAAATCAATTACAAAATGGATCATTAGCACTGAAGTGTGTCACTCGCCATCTTTTCATCCCGTCAAGTCCATTTTCATTTGCACCATTTTTATCATTTGAGTTCACAAACATCAGCGGACATTTGCCTCATGCATGCCAGTGTGGGGGGAAGAATTAGGTCCTTGGAAGTCAGTGGTGTGAACAATAAATAGTTTTATTTTAGAGGACACTAAGGAAGAGGGGCTAGAGAGAGAACATGTTGGATAAAGCAACACAGAGAATGTAAAATGGAAAAAAATATATCCTCTTACCTCTTATGTTAGGGGCAAAATGTACTTCCCAAAGATTGCTATTTTTGTACAGGCACACGGGTGGGGAGTGCAGTACTGTCAGAAAACACTTAGGAGGCAAAAAGGATAAAGAAGGTTATACCGGGGAAGTGAGAGTACATGGAACTGGAGCAAGGAGGGGTCAGGAATGAGAGAGAAAGTCTGTTTTAATGAACCCTCTAACACCTTATTGCAGACACGATGACCTAGTCTATAGCACCTGTGCTAGTCAAGGGCTAAATTATCATCTTGCCCTGACTGACACAGGTGTGCTAGCAAAAGTCCTACTTTAAGCGCACTTACTGAGCAAGAGTCCTTTTGTGCTGGTTGCTTGGGGAATGGATTTAGGCAGAACTCTTGAGAAGTTTCCCAATTGCTATACAGGTAAATTTTCCTATATGTAGATAAACCCAGTGTCTCACAGCTGCTGTCTCTAGTCTTTGACACAAGGAACAGCAGTGCTAGACAAGTCATGCATCCATACACCAAAGTACTGATACATTAAGGGTCTCTGGGATGCTTCTGCCCTTGTGTACCAGGGACCTGGCACAACAGCATCAAGAAAAACCCAGATGTACTGATATCTTGAGAGAGAGAGCACTCAGAACACCTTTAGTAATTTACAAATTTGACAATTTTCAAAAAGATGTTTTAGCATAAAAGTTTAGTGGAACATTCATAGTAGATTGTGGGAAAAACCCTAGTCAGACCAGTTCATTCTCCCTTTCAGCATCTACTCTGCCACTGTGTGACATAGGATACTGGGCAAGATGGACCCAGAAACTGGCAATTCTTATGATCTTATACTGGAAAAGATATGGGCAAGACTGAAATGTATTCCAGGATGATCTCCTACCTCAAGAGTGAAGAGACATTTCACATTTCAGTTCTATTAAACCACCAGCCTTTGTAGACACAAAGACTACATACACTTAATTATTTATATTACCACATTCTTGCTGTTGTAGTATTTCTTGTCAGCCGTGTAGGAAACCCAGGTTTGAATCCTCAACGTGCATATAACTTCAGATGTCAAAGCACCAAATGTCTGGACTTGGTCTGGCCTTTGGATTCCATCTCAATGGTCTAAAGCAGGGATGGAAGATCTGGGTAGCTTCCACTCCTCCCTACTCCTACCTAGACATACGCTTCAAAGGTCCTGGTGACCTCTTGCACAAATGCCATGATCCAGAAGGACTGATGGTTGCCTACTACTAGTCCAGGAGTCCTAATCATGGACCAAGACCCATTGTGCTAAAAACTGCATAACCATGAGAAAAGCAAGGATGCAGTATATAGGTAAGCAGATGGGATAGGAGTTACTGAATTCAAAGACGACTCAGAATATAGAGCTACCATTGCAGAATATTTACCCTGGATTGGTTTGTTCCAAAGTAATTCTAAATGAATTCCATCCACTATAGAAGTAATGCATCAGGACACTTTTCATACTGCACTGAGGCCCCCTCTACATGTGCAGGTAAAGGCATGATGGAATCTAATGTGCAATGGCAGGAGGCACGATTGTTGCATCACACATTAGATCCCATTGTGCCTTATTGCTGGTACAGGGGCAGCCCAATCCTGGGCTACGCCTGCATCAGCCAGAAGCAAGCTCACATGGCTGGGAACCCCACAGATCACAGCTGTGGGGCTCCCAGCCATAGGGGTGATTCCCCCCTGCACAAATCCTCTGGCCCCAGGGGTTTCCCTGCACCCCTGGGGTGGGGGGATCACCTACATCCCTAGGGTGGGTGGTTTTCATACACCCCAGAGCCCAAGGAATTATGGCAGCCTTGATCCCCAGGGTTCAGGGGTGCATAAAACCCCTGGGCCCTGGAAATCGTGGCTGCCTAGGGCTCAGGCATGTTACACTGGGCATAGTGCTCCCCTGTGGCTGGGAGACTGTGGCAGAGCACCTTTTGGGGTCCTCACCACTTGAGGGCTTTCACAGGCTCTGAGGGGAGGCTGTTTTGGAGGACCAGCAGGGGAAACCCCCCGGAACTATTTTAAGGGGGAAGGTGTGTGGCAGGGCACTGTTGGTGCCTGCCACTTTAAGAGCTGAGCCAAGCAGCCAGCAGGTGCTTGACTGCAGCAGCCATTTTAGACCTTTGGCCACCTATATAAAGAGAGCAGTTTGCTGCTGACAGAGGAGGTAGTAACATTATTTGGCTGCAGAGCTATATACAACATCCTAGAGGTAAGGGAAGAGCTATAGGGGATGGTTTGGAGGATCCTGGTCCTGGGCTATGACCTAAAACTGTACCCTGCTGGGAGTGGGTGGCCTGGTGGGGTTCTCAGTAGCATAAGAGCTCACAGGAAATACCATGCCAGTTACCACCCTGGTGAAAGGTGGGTTGGGGTGCCTTAACCCCAGCCCTCACCTTTGAGTGGGTCATGTAACATCAAAAGTAGTTGGAACCAGGCATGGCTGTAGCCACCTGAGCCCTATGGGGTGCAAGACCCTGAGGAGAGGTAGCTGGGGCCAGGCATGGCTATGGCCACCTGAGCCTTTTGGGGAGGGAAGTCCTGTAGCCCCAGTGAGGAGGGTGGAAATGAGGAGCGCAGTGAAAGGGCATGTGGAGCCCCAATGAGAGGGCTGGGAGCCCAGTATTGTTTGCCCAGTGAGGGGAGGCCCAGGTATGTTTTGGTATGGCTGTAAGCTGGGAGCGTTGTCATCCTCATGCTATCTGCAAGGCTTGGGCTGCAGTGTAGGAGAGGAATGGAGCTGCAGATAGCGCCCCCTAGCATCGGGGCAAGAATGGGCAGCCTCCTGTATTAATTAATATCCTAATGAGTTAACAACACAGTGAGACGGGTGGGTGGTGTGCCCAAAGGCAAGTGTGAAATCTAGCACTGGCTAGTCAGGGAGCCCCACTTTGCCACAGAGAGCCATCAGCTGACAAGCTAACTGAAGATTGATACCAACCAGCTATGGAGTCAGTACACTTTTTTTAGGTTTAACTTTACAGCTGGTTGGAGGTTTTTATTGTGCAATGGGTGCTTCATATGTGTAGCTGGTCTCCCTGTAATGGCTCAGTTAACCAGTTAATTGCACAATATCTGTAATGTGTAGAGGTGTCCTGAGACAGGCTTGAAACTGAGATCTTGTTCAGAAGCAGAACAAAAGCTATCAGATTGTTATAGTGTTTAAAGATGGACCAACTGCATTTCATGTTATTGTGAGATCTGTTTATTGATTATGTTTGGGTATAGAAGCAGGGGGCGGGGGGGAAGCAAGGGAGGGAATAACTTCCTTGTAAGGCAATCCCACTATGAAAAAAATTCCTGATAACTGACTGTAGGTGAGGGGGACAGACACAGAACTGGAAAATTGGCAGCCCCGCTCTCAAAAGTCGTTTCATGTATTGAATATGAGGATATGTTAGGGTAGAAATCTATATAAATTATAACGTTCCCTCTAACAACAGGTTAAATCTCTTCTCTGTTAGATCTCACTTGCGTTGAAACTTTATTGTTTTTACTGGCAGTAAAAACAATAAAGAACCACAAGTTACCATAAACAAGAGAAATTTTTGTACTTGCCAGATACACCTTGTACTACCCATGTTATAGTTGGTACCATGGTTCAATGGAGATGTTCTCAGTAATAAAGGCAGTTAGCATACTTCACTTTGAACCAAAATTTTCATTATATTTTCTGACCTAACGGGGGTATTGACAGTTATTCCAGAAATCCACCCCTCAAGATTTCTGGAATTTATTTATCTGCAATCTCTATTTTCTCTTATACTGCCTAGTTATACAACAAATAAGACCAAACTAAAAGGTTAAAAAATTAGAAGCTTTCTTATAACAGTAATGTGGATGTAAACAGTGTAAAACTGCATGTCCTTTAGTTAAAATTGTAACACAAAAAATTAGGACTGCCTTATTTTACTGTTCCCTTGAATACTTACATTCTCGTAATTAAACTTTTCACCTTTCCAAGTAACTGACTGTATTCCTGCACAGTGGGTGGTTTTCTCTGCAGACATGTTGACTTGGAACAATATACAAAGCAGAAATCCCTGAATGGAATTTATAGCTAAATTTAACCATGTATATTTTAATAAATTTGCATATCTGTCTTTCAACATTTAAAAAAAAATGAAATTACAATTAACTGAATTTAGGCACTATGTTGCTTTGTCAGAAAAAAATATGAGATTTGAAGTTATAATTTCCATATTTTTTGATGTTGTATGTAAAAAGAAATTGGTGTAAAAATTCCTGGTACCGCCTTAAAGATATTTCAAGAATAGGAGTGTGTTAACCTTTCACATGGAGCTTGGACATGGAAAAAGCCCCTTGCCTACTCAAAGAGACGTAGAAGAATTAGGGTGGACAACCTTTGGAGTTATGGAAAGCAACAGCTCTGACCACACCATTCTAGAACCACCAACTTATATTCACTAAAAGAGGTAATTTTGGGGGGAGGAGGAGGACATGACTCTTTTTTTTTTTTTTACTAGTGTCGAATGAAAGGGCCTTCTTGACAGTTTAATCAACATTTAGTTTTACATTTTAAAAACAAAACCCAGATTTTCCTTGATACTGTCACACCATCTCTCTGAAAGCAAACTTGTTACAATTATCAATAACACAAACTTTCTCACTCTTGCCTGCTTTTTTACTTTAGCATTGCCCCAACCCTGTTCTCCATCTATCTTGCTCTGATTTTTAATTCTCATCCATGGCTGCCTTCCCCCCAGAATAGGGGTTGACTCTTGAATGGACAGTCAGCTCTTCAACCTGGGGTGCCTTCAGCAAACTGAAAAATACCAAGACTGGCATCACCAAAACTTCAGTGTACTGATGATTGCGTTATCCTTGCATACACTGAGACTGATCTGCAGTCTACCCTTGACCTTTTCCTAGGTGCCTACCATAGCCTAGGACTCTCCCTTAATATGGGGAAGATGGAGGTGCTCCATCAGCCTGCCCTAACACAAGCTGCCCCCCTCCCTCCACAAACTACCTTTAGTGGAGAACCCCTGGAAAACATTGAGCGTTTGCCATATCTTGGCAGCCACCTCTCCCAATCAGTCAGTCTTGACACAGAAATTAAACATAGGATTTACTGTGCCAGCATATCCTTTGGGAAGCTGCTTTGCCATGTCTTTATTGACTGAGATTGCAGATGGATAACAAGATCCTGATCTACAACACAGTGGTTATCAGCACACTACTCTATGGGTGTGAAACCTGAGTCAAAGCCATCTTAAGCACCTGTAATGGTTCCATCAGCATTGCCTCAGGAAGATCCTTCACATTAGATGAGAAGATCAATGCACAAGTGCCAGCATCCTCTCTGCAGCTAACATAACCAGAGGACAGTGGAAGCACTACAAGGACACCCTTAAAGCATACCCTAAGAAGGGTGGCATCAATCTTACAAACTGAGAAGTGCTGGCTGGTAACAGGTCTCAATGGCCCTGCACCATACATCCAGCTACAGCCCACTCCGAAAAGAGCTGTCTTTCTCAGGTGGCCAAGAAATGACAGGGAGGAAGAAGGAAAATGCACAACTTCCTGGCCAACAGCTGTGTGCCCCTCCCCCCAAGGTACCACCTGTCTCATCTGTGGAAAAACTTGGGCAGCATGGATTGGACTCTGCAGCCATATTAAAACTCATCAGTAATTGCCACCTCCCCACCCCCTTGGCAGATTTACATCCTCACATTGAGGGATAGTGAAGACTGGACCTCTTAGTTATCACCTCCTCAGGATGCACAGTAGACATTAGGTGCATTTGGCTCACATCTTAAGGTTGTCTTTACTACCATAATAGCCAGAGACCTACTTTTCTTTTTTTTAAATTAAGTTTGGGATTTTTTTAAGATCTTCAGAGAGATGCATGTTGTGCCAAGAGACCACTGAGTCAACAAGATCCTACAGAGACTTGGAAATCTTCCCACAGATATTGCCATGGAGGACCAGGCCTTCAAACTACTAGAACAGGACATTTCTCAAAACATATATATCTATAGCATTAAATAGTCAAGTACAAGGGGTATTTTTGTTTGGTAAAAGTGCAACAAACGTTAGCACTCTCACGATATAGTACACTTAATTGGAGGTCACCATACAAACCATGTGTGATTGGCTAGAGCCTGCCATGCCAAAAGAGAATTGCTGGAGGGGTGACTTACTCCAGTACAGTAACCAGAAGGATCTGCTCCCTTATGATGCAAAAGCTCCTCAAAACCATGCATAGTGCCCACAGCTCTCACTGTAGTCAATGGGAATAGTGACCCAAAACTCAAAATTTGGTCATGGCTCTGCAAACCTTATTTCCCAAGTAGAAAATGAGCCCAGCAGTTAGTCATTCAAATCACAGGCTCTGCTTACAAAAAGTAATGATTTAAAGATTAATCCACTCACGAGATGTGTACGTAGTCCTCATGGGGCCATAACCAAGACAAAAACGGATCTTAGCAGAGTCTGTTCCACCTGAAGCTCATTAACAGATATGCTAAATGTAAACAAAACCAGGAGGAGGTAAATTGAAGAGGATGGGAAATTAGACAAAAGCTTCAAACTGATGCTTTATGTCAATAAATGCTAGTAACAAAGCAAGGAAGTATAAAAACAATGTTAAAAAAATCACTCGTATTGTAATGCTACATAGTACAGCTATTGGGCATCCAAATACACCTAATATTTTCCAATAATTAAGCATTCATCCATAAATGGCAAACAAATACTTACAGTTAAAGAAAAAAACAACATACATGGTCAATCAATAAATACTTTTAAAAAAAACGAACCCTGAAACTGTGGTAAACAGAAATGATACATTCAGCTGCAATACACACATTGCTTAGTATCTGTTTTATAAAATGTCAAAGTCCAAACTAAGAAGCTTGCTACTCTATAAAACACACTGAAACACCTGCAGGGCAAAAACAAACGACTTTAAGCAATTGTACTAACCACATGTGGATTGCAAATATGCAATAGAACAATAGGCTTTCATGGCCACAAAACACTGTATATAACTAGATTTAAAGTGTAGTCCACTTATGGAAGGTGTCTATTATTTGATTTAAACACAATTTTTAAAATTTTATTTCAAGAACGTTTCAATTTTTGTTGCCAACAGAAATTCTAATTCAAGAAACAGGTTTAGCAAAATTAAAAACAGGGCTTTGTTTCAATGCCCCTCTTTCCACGCCTCCCTACCCTACCCAAAAAAACCTATCAAACTCCAAATGCAATTTTCTACCCTCATCACCAAACATTTCCTTCTTTTTTCAGGCTGGATCTTGCAAACCTTTGCTTGCACATGGGGTCCTCTGAAGTCATTAGAACCACTGGCATTAGAAATTATTACTCATACGTGGAAGATTTTATATTTTTGGCTCAGTCCCCATGTTTTTACGTGAAGTTTTCAATTGCCACTCCAAATCTGTGCATCATGAGTTCAATAGTTACTTGTGAACAGATAAATGTTCCCCTTCTCCACAAACTCATTAGATTTGTAAAGAATTTCACAGATCTGGCAAGTCCATTTTCCTCTCACCTCTTGACAACATTCCTTGTGTCAGATTGAGGGATACAGGTAACATGAAGAAGGTTGCACTTCTGTTGACCCCACCATGCTTGTTCTCAGGAAGAAGATCTTGATCTCTATTTTCAAACCATGACCTTCCTCAAATTCAAATTTACTTTAAGTTGCATGCATGTCTTCATTACTTTAAGAAACTGTAAGAGGTCTGACTGCTTTGTCTTTCAACCTGACGGGCTTTGTGCTCCATTTTTCATAGGTAATAATTACCTTGAATTAATATCTTAATACCTAGGACCCAAATTGCCAAAAAAATATATTGAGGCTACATAATTATTGATCATTTCAAAGTTGTTGGTATAAAAGCCCACTGTTATAGCTATTTTGCCTTTCCCCCACTACAAGCCCTCCTAAGTTTAAGAGACTGAGGAAATGCCTTTCAAGCTATTCTTTAAGTACTTTTTTCATTTGTAATATTGCCAATTAACATTATCCTTCCCTAAAATTATTTTTAACTTTCTTAATAATTCTACATAATAAAGAAAAAGGAGTAAAAATGTCAAGTAGACACATCCCAAAGCAACAGAATATTGTACAATGTTACAGTTAACAGACCTGTATCCAAGAAGGTGGATACAAACTAGTCTTCTTAAAAATGGCCTTTACATGCTGTTAACAAGTGTTATTCTCCAGGTAAACTCAAATACAGACAGAAATATTTGCATACATTTCATTCTACTTGGGTTTCCCCAAGTTAAAATTTTAGAGCGATATATTTATCCTCTATCTTCAGAGGCATAAGCACATGCATAATTTTACTTACATGTGAAGTCCTATTGAGGCCTGTCTGACTATTGAAGCCTTGAAGCTAAAAGCATTGCTTAGCAGATCAGAACAGACATCTAACCATAGATTTTCTCTTTGTGACACAATAAATGTGAAAAACATTTAGAAAGAAATCTGTCTGTAAGAAGATAGGATGCAAGAAAACCCATAAAGTCTCAATGGTCTTGCATTGAAGAAACAATACATGCGCTGAGTAGAATCTCCTGTAAAAGAAAAAAATGAATCAACATGACACAACATAATTCAGGCTAACCTCAATATAAATCACAGGTAAAAATTCCTCCTTGTATGTTGATAGTGCAGTTTCTTCTTCTTAAATCTCGATACAGAAGGCCTACTGAAGCTAATCTGGGGTCTTTTCACCTTTCATCTTCAATCCCCTGACTCTGGAACAAGCCTATAATTATATTTTATTAATCCATGTAGCAATTTCCTATATATTTTACAGAGGTTAAATTGTAGAAGTGGTAAGACAGTAAAAAAGAAACCACACGATACTTGAAATAGAAGAGTCACAATTTAGTTTACACTTAGTAGCACTAAATATATCCCATTACTACTTTGCTGTGGTATGTTTTAGGTCTCTTTCAGAAGCATTCAGTTTTCCTTCAGTGGGATTAGGAAATATAGCTAAATGGAGCCACTCCACTTTCAGAAGTTTAATTCTACCAAGTATCAATGAATTTTGAGTGCCAAATCCTGGATTATTTTTTGTCCCATACTCAGCACTGATTGGGCACAGCCAGAGAATTACATTTACACTGCTACCACTACCTGCTGTCTATGTTCATTTGCCAGCAGTCCATACCTAGTGTCTAAATGCATCCAAAAGGGGAAAAAGTTCACATCTGTCACATCTCTTGAAGGAGACTTTTGGCATACCTATATCAATTTGTACTTTAATCCATTGGAGACTAGGATTTTGAGTACTGCAATAGCAAATTCAATTATAAGAAATGTGAAAGTAGTTGGAAATGCAGACAATGCTTTTATCAGTAAAGAAGAGCAAAAAACCTCTAACAAAGCCACTCAGGCAATATTCACCAGCAGTCTTATTACCAGTGCTCTGCCATAGCCAGAAAGCCAAACTCTGAAGGCAATTAAGCTTTGATGTAGCCAGCCAAGACATCATCTACCCCAGCAACACTACTGTGAGCCCATGACCAGAAGAACAGGTAAAAGTGGTATGTCAAACAGCCTGATGCTGGTGCCAAGCCTCGGAAGAGGCTGGGCATCAGGCCTGCCTTTCTCCAGCAGTGAGGTTACAAATAGAAGTCAGAAGGGCTGCATTTCTGTCCCTGTCATGTATTAGTTTTGTTTTGTTTGGCCTTCAACAAATAAGCCAGGCTTTAAAAATGGTCCTAGCCCATCTCAGTTAACACTTCCCTCTTTCTTCCTAACAGGACAATTGGAAACATTACCACTATTGAAAAGCCTCACAATTATTTTTCGTTCTATAAAAAAAGGTAAAGGGAATACTTTGTTATAGCTTAATAATGAAATCTTAATAATTTGTATTTCAAAACCCTAAACATGCGCGCACACACCCCTATTTTTTTCCCATTGTGGCTATTTGTCATGATATTAAGGAGACTGAAGATGCTCAGCTTGCAACCCCCAAACAGAGCTGTTTTATGCTGTACAGTGGCAGGTTATGCTAGCACTACCTTTGTATTTTTGGGCCCATTTCATCCAGATGAACAAAAGTCCAGATATACCACCCTTCCTTGTGTTTAGCAGCACCTATCTTAATCTGTGTGATCAACGGAATCAGAAGGGTAACTTGTAGTGTAAGATACTTGTGAGCCATGGGTAGAAGGAACAGGCCCTCAGAAGTTGCATTTTTCTTTGCCTTGAAGAAAAAGTTTTAAGAGTAAACAGCTAACATGAAGTCTAGATGAAAGCAGATTACATTTGCAATAAAACTGAAACAGCCAATCAATAACTTTGATTAAAATTGCACTTTGATAAAAATCTGTATTATTAAATTACTGCCATCATTCTCCTTGTAAAGAAATGATTAGGAACAGTGCAAAAATGAACACAGATTAAAACGTTTTCACAGATTAAAACCTGCTCCTTCAAATGAGGCAACCTTACAATTAAAGTTTTGCATGCAAGGGCCAGGGGGTGAAGCAGATGCAAGTCTAACAGGCTCCCCCTATTTTGCAATATTTATTGCCACTGTTGAAGTTTTTTTCAAACCCTTACAAAATGATTCTTGGATAAACCTTAGATCATCACCTATGGCTGGGGAAAACTCATGCTCCCCTCCATTCTCAAGAGCCATCAAAAAACCACGGAGATCAAGCAATCCTTGGCTTCCAGGATGTAGGCCTCTGAGGGAAGATCTAAGGGGAAAAGAGGACTTGGCTTCTCTGATAGAGGGCACATCTAGAGAAGAAAAAAAAATTAAAAATCAAGCATTAAAAATACAGTGAATAGTATTCAAGGATTTGTAATGAATGTTCAGGCTTCATTGGACATCCTGATGAAACAGATTCAGGGAATGGAAGACACATGTTCTGCCTGCAAAGATCAGGCTGTGTAAATGGCCTGGCAGACAGGATCTCTCAGCAAGGAACTGGAGGCTCAGAGGGACAAAGGGCTAGATTTGTAGGAGAGATCAAGGAAATACAGCATGCACATTACTGGAGTACCTGAGAGGTCTGGAAAAGGTAATCCTACCTACTTCGTGAATAAAGCTGCTTGTCAGCATTTTAAAACTTGCTGCAGACACTTCTCTATCTGTACTGATTCGCAGATAGACAAGTCTCATCTTGGAGACCTGAAGAAGGATACAGTGGTACCCAACAGTTTGTCTATCTCCCTCCCTACTATGCAGTTCAGCCAACAAAAAGGGCAAAGCTCACAAAAATCCTTGCCTCTTCACTAAAGATATAGTTAGCCAAGTCTAGTCAAATATAGATAATGTCCTCATTACAAAGCCCCCACATTTTAGACCCATCTGTTCACATCCACATGGTTGCTGTACTACATTTTTATGTTGGGCTGGCCTTGAGAATCATGGATATCCTGCTAATCAGTGCAATAAATGGAGCTATTCTTTCCATTACTTCACAGTGTGCTGTGGGAAAACTTGTCTGCTCTTCCTGGGGTTTCATGCTGAAATCTTGTTTGCCTGTCAATGCAATAATGTGCCTTCCCTGTCACAAGCCATGACCCCCGCTCTGAAAGAGAGCTTGTTCTATCTGCTTTGAATGCAACTTGTTTTGTGAAAGCTGAAAAAAATAGATATAGCATAAAAAAAACATAGTTAAGGGTATGTTGGCAGCAGCTTATCTTCCTGAGAAGCCAGGAGATAACTGGCTGCATGGCAACACAGTGCAGCAATGCTTCAGACTGTAACAGTGGTTATGGGGTGGATCCATAAGCAGAGAATGGTGGAAGCACATCAGCATGCACATATGCACACCTAGGGTAATCAGCAGTGTGTCTCTAACTTCCACATGAAAAGGATGGTCTCCAGACAGCTGTTTGGAAGCACTCACCCACTTTTTAGGAAGGGCCACCTAGATTCAACTTAGCATCTTACCAAGGTAGCAGGATGTTACTGCTATAGATCAGTAGCTTATTCATTTGGTATTGGTAAAACAACGGTCTTTGTTTGGTGGAAAAAATTTACAATACAGTTGCTACAAATAGTTTATTCACTGGCATTAAAGATTAGTGTTCCCAAAATAACTTTGAGTCAACAAGTTTCTCAAACCTTGCTGGGGCCATTGAAGGTGCACAGGAATGTATCAACCAGGAAAAAATGCCACCCGTCATTATACGGGCTGTGGCAATTAATATGCATCCAAGCAAGATTCCAGCAGTGTGCGTGATAGCAAGATGTTCCTGAGATCTAGCATTTTGAACATGGAATCATCTGGGACTTTATTCCAAATCAATAACATTGATATCATCATGATTTCTGTGCCCACTATTACTTTGGGAGAACCAACCTAAATGCTAATGCTCTCATTCATGAAGCCCTACCTTACCAAGTGGTTTCACATCATAAATTTTAAATTACTCACCAGGCAGTGGCTGGTGGCTGAATGAGAAATAGGACAAATACAGGTATGATGGTGCTGCCTAAAAAAATCTATTTGAATGTCACTGGAATTTGGTGTGCACTACATAACATTTGTGAGGGAAAGGCCTAGAAATTTTCAAGAGTGAGTTGATGCCAGAACTGATTTATGGGAAAAGAGGTCAACAAGTACCTGTGATATCAGGATCTGATGGGAGGGGTGGGGGGACTGCCGTTGCAAAGTGGGGCAGGGATGACAATGATAGATTCCCACACCCTTGCTTTCCAGGGGGAATTATAAACGTTAGTTGTAAAATGTTGATATCACAATTGCAATTGCTCTGACCATAGTACAGGAGCACTGTATTAAAACATTACCCGTGTGATTGGACTGAATAGAGAATCATAGAATCAATGAGTCGGGAGGGACCTAGACAGATCATCGAGTCCAACCCCCTGCCATGGGCAGGAAGGAGCACTGGGGGTGGCAGGGGTCATAAGACCCCAGCAAGGTGCCTATCCAGTCTCCTCTTGAAGATTTCCAGGGAAGGTGAGAGCAC